CTATTCAATACTTGTCTTACTATAATGCAGCAATGCCAGAAATGGAATAAACCATGCCAAAACGTTAGCATCGGAGTTCTGTAGTTGATGAATCAGCACCTAGAAATTCTTGGCCCATGGGACACATTACAGAAACATTGGCTGATTATAAAGGATGTGTTTGTTATGTACTTGGAAAAAAATGAAATGAAGACAGCATGTAGAGTTCAGTGCGTGCAAAATAATCACCTGTCCCTGAATCCACGGCCTAATATGAAACACTGATATACCACATTTGTTTAATTGAAATTCAGTTTCTGATGTTGTAGGAAAATTTATGTTTTACTCTTTCTTATTTACTTTCTTAGACATTGTGCGGGTAATTTAATCAGGAAAGACAGAGGGGTTAGTCATAAATAAAGACCTTTGGCCTCACGGGTGTGAAGGCACACAAACACACAGTAAAAACAAATGATCAGAAAGAGCCTTTGAACTCTTTAGTGCAGGAAAGACAGAGGGGTTGTTGACCTCACAGATGTGAAGATAATAAAAGCCCAGGGGGTTAGAAGGACCATTGTTTTTTCTGAAAACAGCTAGGTTTGGTTTACGGGGTTAAGTGGAAATTTACAGAGAAGGAACCTTGTAAGAAGTGGGGGGTGATAACAGTATATAAGGCTGTCTGTTTTCAGTGTGATTTTAGGTCTGTTGTGTTTCAGGGTAGCTGCTGAAACATTGTGAACATACCTCTTTAAGGAAAATAAACTTCTTTCCTTAAATATAATTTGATTCCTTGTCTCTTACACTGTGATGCTATTTGTTAATAATTGTTTTTGCCACAACACTGATTATATTAAGAATTGCCCAACATGTATTTGACAAAATCTAATATTTTAAATATTCAAATGAAATATGCATAATTTATGAAAATGTACTCTCAGCGTTTCCCTTATGAAAATTTCTCTAACTTAAAAAATAGTTTTAAAATACGTAACTTTATGCATTCTCATTATGAGTTTATTTTTAGACGTTCATGATCCCTTAGCTGTGAGTTGCTTAATTATTTGAATTCCTTTTTATGTAAAGCATTTTGAATTATTATTATTATATAAATGAACTTGCCTGGCCTTGCCTTGCCTTGGGTAGATCCTCCCACATGAGTGGAGTAGATGATGTTGATGGTGGTTGTGGGAGTTAGAGTTTATGCAGCATTCCATTTCAATCACCATTTATTCGCATAATTTTCAAAATATTACTGCTATTGTGTCATGAAATGTAGGTTTACGAGTATTTCAGGCGAGAATGTAGTTGTTTAAAACTCAAATTTTGCGGACATTTATTTATTGAGACAGCTCCTATTTTAAATCTGCTTCGCCGATTTCGGAGATGTGAGCTCCAGGCGATCACAGGGTGCTCAGCGCTCATGTATCCCGCTGAGAGCGCCTCACCTCGGCTAGCTTCTGACATTTGCCACTGGCTCTGATGTCACTGTAGTGGTTAAACATGAGATATAATTCGTTTTGGGTAAATGTAACTGGTAATCTTTGGTCTCATCTCTCATGAATCTATTTGTTCCAGGTCATATCGTTTCGACTGAGCACAAAATTATGTTTCATAACTTATTTATATATAAATTTATATATATTTATATATTTATAACTTTATTAAAATGAAAATGAAAAGAGGCAATGTTGTTTGATATAATATTTCGTTTCATTGTAATGTATAAGTTCCCTGGATAGCCTACATTTCTGCGGCTATTAATATGTTTAACTGAAAACGAAAAGAGGCAGTGGTGTTGGATATCATATTTCGTCTTATTGTAAATACAGTGAGGAAAATTGCAGTAGTCAAGGCGAGCTGACTGACATTAGCAAGTATGCTGCTGTTCCATTTGCAGAATTCCGAAAGTCACGCGCAGTCCTACGTCACCAGCAGTGTTGGGGAAAGTTACTTTTAAAAGTAATGCATTACAATATTGCGTTACTCCATAAAAAAGTAACTAATTATGTTACTTAGTTACTTTTTATGGAAATTAATGTGTTATGTTACTTTAGAGTTACTTTTTAAATCTGGACAGGGCTTGCTTGTTTGATTTTTTATATAAAAAAGTTATTTTCAAATGTAAAAGCCCTTTCATAATGTTAGTCCTATGTCTTGTGTTTTGCTCCCCATGTGCAAATGTACAAATGTAAACAAATGTAAAAGCCCTTTCACAACAACAACAACAACAACAAAAAAAAGAAATGAATATGCCTCAGGCTGAAGGAAATGTAAATTCACGTCTGTACAGTAGAGGGCGCAGCTCAAACAAATTGCATGAAGAATATGACGCAGGAGAAAAAAAGTTAAACACTATTCAGCAATAACATTTTGCTTAGTATGGTTAAATTGTGTCCTCGAAGGTCAGCAGCAAAGACATTGGTTCATAAAATGGGATGAAATACATAAATTATATTTGTTTTATTTATTTCATTATTGCAGGTTTGTATAATATTCTGAGTTTGCATTTGATTAGTTTTATTGATTTTGAGGAATGCTGAATCTGTTTTTGTGCAGGTGAGATGAGTAAATACATGTTCATATTTAGTCTAGAACTACAGTAAGCATCATGTTCACACAGTTCACACAACGCCTCTGCACTTACTCCAGATTTCTCTCAACATGGCAACATGAGAGCTGTCAGTCAATACATGGAAAACAGAGTAACGAGTTACTTAATTGAAAAAGTTACTCAGATATTTTCTTCTGAATTAAAAAGTAATGCGTTACTTTACTAGTACTTTACTAAAAAAGTAATCTGATTACGTAACTCGTGTTACTTGTAATGCCTTACCCCCAACACTGATCATCAGACTATTTGCCTAATCTTCATGGAACTTTAGGCTGTGATGAAAATGCAGACAGCAACAGATCTGGGGGAAAAAATGTTCCTGGGAAAAAAGTTCCTGGGACAAATTGTTCCTGGTAGTTTCGGTGGAAAAGCGACTTTTATAAGCTTTTTATGTTGTTACAAATTCTGTTTCACCATAGGCCTACTTGTTGGGTTTAATTTACAAAATCTGTTTAACTTTCTCCTGCACCCATCGTTGTCTAGGATCACTGCAGAACTTTCCCCGTTTAGTTTTAAAACATCGAAAATACAGAAATATAACATAACACAGAAATATGACATGTTTTCTTTAGAGAGGAACTGCGATTCTTACATGAAGGTCTTCACACATGGAAGGCTTTCATGTTGCAACTGGATATCAATTATGGGATCAACCACATCTACTCTGAAGACTTTAGTAGCCTACAGCATTTAGATCACCTCAAATTCCGCTAACATAGAAGAACCAAGGAAACATTAATGTATGAACAGTTAAAGCTCTTCACCTGTTGTAGTCCAGATCACAGATGCAATGACCACCGCAACAGCCAAACTCCTCATGAGGATCCTGCGTGTCTCCATTGTCACAGTCGTTCTTCAGTGCTCACTTCTTGTGTCAGAGAGAATATATTCAAGACACCTACTAGTTCTCCTGATAGTCAATAAAGCGGAACGTAAACTGCATAGCAGCCGCGTTTTAATTTAATGTGGCCTTCCATGTAGTATAGATTGGGAGTGATTGACCTCATTAGTTATAGTAGCTGTAAATGTCATGTGCTAAATTAATATATGTAAATGTAGATGGGGGAATCCCTTTTAGAGAAATGTCTTGGATGATATTTAATTTCCAACCTTGCCGTCAGTCATTTAATTTATATAAATTCAGTGAATCTTGAAAAAGCACTTTGTTTTTCAATATGCCAATAGGAGCATATAAATAGAGTGTGCTTTTTTATTCAGTAATTCTAATGTATTATATCTTGTAGTCAAATGACCAGTTGTCAAATTAAGCAAAATAGGAAGAAAGAGCTGACATCCTACTGTTACTTCATCTATTGTAAGAGGGAGGCATCGTTTGGAGCAATATTCTCAAACGGTAACAGGAAACCGATAACAAAAAGATCCCCGGATGAAGTGTATATTTACCTAATATCAACTAAAACAACCTGTAGGGCAGTTTTAACACTTGCACGTGCAACGTCTTGTGAACGTCTCTGCAGGTAAATACATTTTCTGACCACAAAGAGTTTTAATAAACTGTATTATGGTGCTGCAGGCAGGCTACTTTTTTAAAGGTACTACTAATTTTGAGAAACTGTGCCATTTTAGTAAGTCTTTTAGAGATATTTGTATTTGTTTTTGAATGTTTTGGGGGATGTGTTGTTACTTTGTTCATGTTTGTTTCTGCTTATGGTGTTGCGTGTTTATGAACTCCCTAACATGTATCATTTGTTTAGCTACTAGCCAAATAAACAAGGGTTGACACTTTATTTGGCTGATAAATTGCATTACCGGCTTTGTACATTAGGTGCTGTTCTCCACTAGATGACACCCATTACTTTAAAACAATCCAGTCAGAGGAATATTTGATTATTTCCATTCAGTTAGATAAATTAAACATCTTGAGCTCTAAATGGTCTCAAAAAGCACCATTATAGTATCCTGGTCGCCGTGATTTTGCCAAGTAAGACATGTTCCTGGATCAACATCTTTTGATGATCCTGGATCAACTTTACTATCCAAAAATATAGACTTAACCCAATCCCTACCCCTAAACCTAACCCTACCCATAATTTATTCCTAAAATCAGTGGGAAATGATAGCTTATTAACAAGAGTGTAGAAGCACCTAACCCTGATTGTAAGCCTAAAACAGATATTTCCTGAAAAGTTATATCTCTATTCTGATTGGTTGATTGGAATGTTGTTCCAGGATCAACAAGGATGTTGATCCAGGAACATGTTGTACTTGGTGAAATCACGCTCACCATAGTATTCCACAGAAACAAAAGTCATAGATTCAGAATAATGAGTAAATAATGACAGTTTTCCCTTTATGTGCAAACTATTTCTTTAATGGATTAGCTTAAATATGATTAAATACAGTCCAAACTGTTATAGAGAAAAGGCTGGATGTTTATGTTAAAGCAGTTTGAAATTTTATTTTAAAGCAGATAAAATAAAGCAATTAAGTGAAACATCTTTTAACATTCACATAAGTTAATGGTAAATAAACAAACATAATATATATTCTTCTTTTTATAGATAGATGTATTGATATATAGGTAGATCTGCAGCATCTTCTAGGCCTCTATTTTCTCAGTCCACTATCTCCTTTAGACCTGGGAAAAAGATGATCATGTTATGAGTTTTTTTTAACAGTACATAAGCATCATATTAAGATGTCATATTAATATTAGGGTTGTACCTTTCAGACGGTCTTGAATCCAGCGTGCTTTTGGATCAGAGCAGAACTTTTCCTTCTGTGTGTAGAATCTGCAGGAGAGATGAAATGAAAAACATTATCATGCATATTACCTTCTGTGAAACAACACTGTGTAGAGAGAGCTTATAACATCCACTCATGGACTCAGAGCATTCTGATGCTTGTATCCAATCAGTTTAATTGTAGAAGGGATTCTTGCTTTCGTCACGTCCTTACAACAGCTCACTCCAACACGAATGGGACGACGATCTTAAAGAGAGACAGAGATTGAATCTCCACCATACTCATACTGTGCATAGAATATGTGTGAAAACTAGATGGTTGAGATCTTGATAAGGGCGCGTGCCTCAAAAGAGGGCTTACAATGACTTACAAAGATACATAACAGCTACAAGTGTATGCACTAACGTACTTGCTTTATGCAAGCGCTATATAGGATAGATCACTATACAGGATTTACCCTATTATACTTTATCGACACGAATTGATAGGTGAAACAA